TCTCAGATTCTCCAGCATCTGCAGTTCCTACTATCTCTGATTAAATTAGAGGTAACCGTTTGTGTGTGTATTCAGTCTTGCCTCTCTCTTTGTGCTTTGAGCAATCATCTTGAGTTTACATACGGGCACACTGACTGGTTGAACCAACTTTGCTCTGTTTGATTTATTAGAGCTCTATTCTCCCTTCACTGGTGCATGAATTGCGTTCTGATCAGTTTGCCATGAAATCCATACCCATTGCGATCATGCCTTCCTTGCACAATGGAGACTGTTAGAAATGCTCTACTCGGACCTTAAATGGAGGGCCATGGAGTGCCCCTATGCCAACACTGCCAACAGGGAGACTGTCTAAGTCTCACACTGTCCTGGCCAATACAACTGTCAGTCAAAATCCTGGAGCTCTCTCCCTGACACCAGCACGCAAAAGTACCCTCCCTGTGTGGACTGCTGTGATTGTATGGACAGGGCCCTCAACCTTTCTTAAGGGGCAACTGGGGATGGGCAATGAATGCCATTAAAGCCAACGATGCCCATACCCTGAGAATGACCATTAAAATTAAATTGGTTCTGAAGACGAGCCAACAGACTCAAGGCATTAGCTCTGAGTCTCTCTTTCTCATCACAAATGCTGCCAGACCTGCTGAATTTCTGTGTCATTCCAGTGTTTGTTTCATAGAATATAGAACACAAGAACACAGAACAGTACAGCACAGTACAGGCCCTTCGGCCCACGGTGTTGTGCCGACCTATTATCCTACTAAGATCAATCTACCCTGCATACCCTACATTTTACTATCCTCCATGTGCCTATCCAAGAGTCGCTTAAAAGTCTCTTATGTTTCATATGTTCAGCATCCTCAGTACTTTGTTTGGATAAAAATGAACGTTGAACTCGTGGTTATTTGTGACTTAACCAAGTACAGAGGACTTCCTCTGCAATGTCTCAGTGCCAGCAACGTTCACATTGAGAGTTCCTTACTTTGGTTCCTCAAGTTTCGGGTTCATATTGGGCTCATCGCGGCCCTGCCCAGCAGGACGCTCCTCCTTCTCCTCCTCTGTCACTATCTCCAGGGTCATTTCCACTTTGCCCTGTGGAAGGAAAACACGCAGAGGCACACAAACAAAACAAAATCAGTGCTTCTGTCACTTGCAACAAACAGAGAAAGCCAGCGCTTTACCACGGAACTTTGCAAATTCGGAAGCAGGTCATTGCTGAAAGAGCAGAGGAAAGGGAAAGGTCTTGCATTTCTATAGCGCCTTCCATAATATCCCAACGCACTTTACGTGGGCCAATGAAACGTGCACGAAAACACAAATGTGCGAAATGAGAGCAGGAGTAGGCCGCTTGGTGCCTTCTGCCTGCACGGCTGGCACTGAGCAGTTTCGGGCCTTCTATCTAAGGAATGATAGGATTGTGCTGGAGGGTTCTGAGGAAGGGTCACTGGACCCGAAACGTTAACTCTGTTTTTTCCTTCACCGATGCTGCCAGACCTGCTGAGCTCTGCCAGCAACTTTGTTTTTGTTCCTGATTTACAGTGCCCACAGTTATTTCGGTTTTTATTGTGTTGGAGGGTGTCCGGGGAAGATAATAAGAATGATCCTGGAGATGAAGAACTTGTCATAATGAAGAGCAGTTGAGAACTCTAGGCCTGGAGTTCAGAAGAGTTGGGGTTGGGGAGGGGGATCTGATTGAAATTTATAGAACATTGAGAGGCCTGGATAGAGTGGACGTGGAGAAGATGTTTCCACTAGTAGGAGAGACTAGGACACGAAGGCACAGCCTCAGAGTGAAGGGATGAGAATTTCGAGCTGAGATGAGGAGGAATTTCTTCAGGCAGAGGATGGTGAATCATTGCTGCAGAGGGCTGTGGAGGCCAGGTCATTGAGTGTATTCCAGGGAAGTTCTTGACTGGTAAGGGGATCGAGGGTTACGGGGAGAAGGGTTGAGAAACATATCAGCTGTGATCAAATGGTGGGGCAGTCTCAATGGGCTGAATGGCCTATTTTTTATACGTAATGATGGTATTATTATTAATATTGGGACTATGAATGGGTGAAAATGGGTTGGCGAAATCTAGGCTATATGGGTGGGTCAAGGCCATGGGCGAAGGTGCTCAGACCCTGAAATGATTGAACTCAATCATTTGTCCTGAAGGCTACAAGGTCCCCCAAGCGGGAAATGAGATTCTGTTCCTCCAGCCCAGCAACAGCAGCCAACCAATCAGAGGCCAGCAGCTCTTGTGCTCAGCAGCGCCAAAGAGGATGCAGTGGTTGCGAGTGGAAGCACATGCCCTGGAGCCCAGGACCAGGAGACCCCAGAACAAAAGGAAGTGACCTGGAGTGAGGGATAGGGTGATGACTGAGATGGGCGCAGTGGGAAGAGAAGGTGAGGGGGCTGGCAGGGGGGATGTGGAATCTGAAGCAAGGACAAGACATTGGCTCCAATGAACACTGTCTTGCCTAATACCCGACCCCTTGATCGGGCACCAATGTTCTCTAATTGAGGGAATCATCCCAATCCTGAAGTGAGGAACGTCACATAACAAGAGGCCCGACAGTGACTGTATTAATCCCAGTGAAGGCGAGGATGAGGCATTTAGTGGATCCTAATTGACAATTTAATGGCTTCAGTTGGCAGCAAATGCATTGATGCTGACAAAGGGCTTTTCTGGAGGAGGTTTGGGGTGCATCAGGATTGGGGTACACCACCATCCTTCCCTAATTAAGTACCATTCCCACCTCCAAGGTCACCCCCTGTAGGAGTAGAAGATGCTGTCCCTGGACTCTTCGGCGTCTCGACATCCACCTGGTGAAACCCTCTCAGAATATTACGTTCCAATAAGACCGCCTCTCACTATTCTAGAAGGTGTTGGCCCATTTTCTACTCAATCTGTCCTCATTGGACAACCCTCTTTTCCCTGGAACTGATTCCCTTTATCTCCGGAAATTGCCAGTTTGCACACAGTGGGCTCCAGTAGATTTCAGGAGGTCAGCAGATCTCACAGCCTCCATAGGAACAGGGGTAGACCATTCAGCCCACTCAAGTCTTAGCCCCTCTATTCAATTAAATCATGGCTGATCTGTGGCCTAACTCTATATACCTGCTTTCGGCCCATATCCCTTAATAACATTGATTTACAAAAAATTTATCTATTTCAGATTTAAAATTAATAATTGAATCCATGGAGAGAGAAACATTTGGACTTCAAGCTCACTCTTTCAGATGTTGTGAAACTTGAAAGGGTTCAGAAAAGATTTACAAGGATGTTGACAGGGGTTGGAGGGTTTGAGCTACAGGGAGAGGCGGAATAGGCTGGGGCTATTTTCCCTGGAGCATCGGAGGTTGAGGGGAGACCTTATAGAGGTGTATAAAATCATGAGGGGTATGGATAGGGTAAATAGTCAAGGTGTCTTTCTCAGGGTAGGGGAATCTAAAAGTAGAGGGCACAGGTTTAAGGTGAGACAAGAAGGGATCTGAGGGGCAACTTATTCACGGAGAGGGTGGTGCGGTGTATGGAATGAGCTGCCAGAGGAAGTGGTGGAGGCAGGTACAATTACAACATTTAAAAGGCATCTGGATGGGTATATGAATAGAAAATGTTTGGAGGGATGTGGGTCAAATGCTGGCAAATGGGACTAGATTAGTTTAGGATATCTGGCTGGAATGGGCGAGTTGGACCGAAGGGTCTGTTTCCGTGCTGTACATCTCCATGTCTCCTTGACTCGAATTGTTAATTCTGCTTTCTCTCCAGACAGACGCTGCCTGACTTGCTGAGTTCCTGCAGCAATTTCTCTTTTTCATTTCCCATCTCCACAGCGTTTTGCTTTTACATGACCGGCGTTCTTCCAAGAGTGTTATGAGGTGTTCCGCATTCACCCTAGAGCGGCTTTCAGTCCAACAACTCAACAGGAAAGCTGCAGTTCCCCTCCATGAAAGGCACTATATAAATGCAAGTTGCCGTTGGACCGCGAGCTCGTCAGCAAGTGAAGTGCCTCGAGGAATGAAGTGAACTCTTACAGCAAGAGTCTTCTCTCCTAGTGACTCAGCAACACAGGGCCACCAACCCTTCACCGATTTCTGCTCAAACAGAGAGACATGCTTCCCGCTCTCGAGCACCATCAGACCACACTTCTCGGGAGACTTGGCCGGTTTGGGCATTCTGTTGAGATCCATCTGAATTGACCCTAAAAAGCAACGAGGCACTTCAATCACAGCGTCAACCAAAAATAAAAATGAAGTAACTGATCATAACTCTCAGGGATTCTGTCTCTCTCACACATACAGAAAGAATGAGAGAATCCCTACAGTGTGGAAGCGGGCCATTCAGCCCATCAAGTCCACACCAACCCTCCAAAGAGCATCCCAACCAGACCCGCCTCCCTACCGACTTCCTGTTATCCCGCATTTCCCATAGCTCGTCCCCCTAGCCTGCACACTGCTGGACACTACAGGGCAATTTACCGTGGCCAATCCCCCAACCTACGCATTATTGGTCTGTGGGAGGAAACCCAGGTAGACATGGGGCGAATGTACAAACTCCACACAGGCATTCTTTGCAATTCGTTCACAGTATGTGGGCATCGCTGGCAAGGTCAGCATTTATTGCCCAGAGGGCAGTTGAGAGTTGACCACATGGCTGTGGGTCTGGGGTCACCTCGTTGGTCAGACCAGGTAAGGATGGGAGATTCCTCCTTACTTCAAGGGCATCAGTAAATCCCTACAATGTGGAAGTAGGCCACTCAGCCCATCATGTACACACTGCTCCTCTCAAAGAGCACCCCATACCTGTCATCCTGCATTTCGCATGGCTAACCCACCTGGCCTACACATCCCTTTTCTCCCCAGTTATCATCAGGTTATTAATTCGGGACATTTATTCAATTCAGATTCCACCATCTGCCATGGTGGGATTACGAACTCAGGACCCTCAGAATATTACCTAGGTCTCTGAATTACTAACGTTAGTGATATTAACACTAGGCCATCACCTCCCTTCAGCAGCTGCAATGACTTGCTGGCCAAGGAAATAGCCTGCATTTACTTTCACCATTCCATTTCACATTCTTCCACCACTATGTGTTTATTCACTCATGGGTTGTGAGCATTGCTAGCCGGGGCATTAATTATTGCCTGTTGTTAGATGCCCCTTGAGAAGGTGGGGGTGAGCTGTCTCTTGAACTGCTGCAGTCCTCCTGCTGTAGGTTGACCCACAATGCCCTTAGGGAGGGAATTCCAGGATTTTGACTCAGCAACAGTGAAGGAACGGCGATATATTTCGAATTCAGGATGGTGAGTGGCTTGGAGGGGAACTTGCAGGGGGTGGTGTTCCCATGTATCTGCTGCCCTTGTCCTTCTAGATGGAAGTGGTCGTGGATTTGGAAGGTGCTGCCTGAGGATCTTTGGTGAGTTTCTGCAGTGCATCTTGTAGATAGTACACACTGCTGCTACTGAGCGTCGGTGGTGGAGGGAGTGGATGCTTGTGGATGTGATGCCGATCAAGCGGCTGCTTTGTCCTGGATGGTGTTGAGCTTCTTGAGTGTTGTTGGGGCTTCCCCCATCCAGGCAAGTGGGGAGTATTCCATCACACTCCTGACTTGTGCCTTGTAGATGGTGGGCAGGCTTTGGGGAGTCAGGAGGTGAGTTACTTGCCGCAGTATTCCCAGCTTCTGGCCTGCTCTTGTAGCCACTGTGTTTATGTGGCTGGTTTATTTGAGTCTCTGGTCAATGATAACCCCCAGGATACTGATAGTGGAGGATTCAGTGATGGTAGCACCATCAAATGTCATGGGGCAGTGGTTAGATTGTCCCTTATTGGGTCATTGTTGGCATTTGTGTCGCACAAATCTCAGTTTCCACTTGTCCATCCAAGCCTGTTGGATCTGTTTATATGTCTCCAATCTTCCCTTGGCACCTGCCTCACCTCACTTGTAATCATTTTAATTGATCCATCGGTTTTGAATGATTCATTGACTCTGTCACCCCCTGAGCCTCAACAGCATTCTTTGTCGGAAGGGGCTAAAATTCAACCCCACCCCCAGCCAACCCATTGTGAGGAAGAGCTGGGCAATGCTCACACCCTGAACAGGTTGAGGTGAAACGTTCCAAGCTTTTGTTCTGGATCTTGGTCCCAAACACAGAAAACTACATCTTTCCATCGACCAGATCAAATTCTTAAACAAGCTCAGCCTGATCATTTCTTGATCTCCTTTACTCAAGGGATTGGAAGCCCTGTCAGTGCCAGCTTCTTTTGTAACTTAACCCTTCTACCATTTCAGATGTATGACTAAAATTCCCATCTCGGCATCAGTGGCAAGGACAGCATTCAATATCGGTCCTGAACTTGGTGGTGGGCCCTTTATCCACGCTGAGTGAATTACCGGGCCTCTTCAGAAGGCAATAAAGAGACAACACAATGAGGATGGGAGTCACTGACAGACCTCAACTGGATCAGAACGACAAGCATCATACCTGAAGGAGATACTGGTGAACCGCAACATTCTTTTTCATAGAATCCCTGTAGCGTGGAAGCAGGCCATTCTGCCAATCAAGTCCACACCAACCCCTCCAAAGAACATCCCACCCAGACCCACCGATCCCTGTAAGCCCACATTTCCCACAGCCAATCCACCTAGCCTGCACATCTTTGGACTGTGGGAGGAAACCGGAGCACCCGGAGGAAACCCACGCAGACACGGGGAGTATTTGCAAACCCCACACAGACAGTCGCCTGAGAGTGGAATTGAACCTGGGTCCCTGGCGCTGAGAAGCTGCAGTGCTAACCACTGAGCCACCGTGCTGCCCATTTTACCCACAATCTGGCAGCTTTGGGGTCACTTTAACAGAGGCTGCTTTTATTTCCCACGTTGTGCTTACCAAACCCAAGCCCTTGAACATCACATAGAAATTTGAGAGGATCAGTGTTACATAGATTTTTCCACTCGCTGGCAGAGACTAGAAATATGAAACATTCATTGCTTAAAGCAGGAAAAGTTTCTTTACTAAGAGTTGATATGATTTAAGAAAAAGATTTCTTCACGGGACGTGAGCATAGCATTTCTTACACATCCCTAGTCGCCCCTGAGAAGGTGTTGGGGAGCTGCCTTCTTGAATGGCAGTAACTGGGCTTGTTTATTGGAGATGGGTCTATCACGTTGCAAGTTTACCGACTCAGGGTCCTCACTTCCTCCAGGAAAATCCAGCCCATCCTGGATTGTCGGACATTGATCCATGATATACACAGTGGGCACCAGTGGGTGCTGGTAACACTGTTGTCTGCCCTCTGGGTAATAAATGCTGTCCTAGGAAGCCTCGTGAATGAATGAGTGAATGGAAAAGAAATTCGTGTTGAAATTCCCAGTCAGAGAGGCAGGAGCGGCTTACCCAGATAGTCATCGAAGGAGAATTTATCGTTGTCCCAGATTTGGATGATGAGCTCAGGTGCAATTTTCGTTTGTGTCTTATCCAGGCTCCAGAAATGCTCCTGGGAGGGAAGCAGAGAAAGATTTCACATGGTGGGGTTTTTTTGATTATCACATTGTAAACTTTTCAAATGGTTCAGAGTTCAATTCAACCACAAACACCAAGAGACCTCCAGGATAGGCCAGAGGGCAGTGTTGGGATTAAGGACCTGCATTCGTAGCTCTCAGGGTCAACACCAAATGCAGGGACAGCACAGGGTTAGATACAGGGTAAAGCTCCCTCTACACTGGCCCCATCAAACACTCCCAGCACAGGGACAGCAAGGGGTTAGATACGGAGTAAAGCTGTCCCAAACACTTCAACAGCAAGTATAACGTCATCTACGTTCTCCTATTTTGCATCTTAAATTACCCAGTGATCATGTGTGGGAGGAGTCTCATGGGAAACAGAGGTGCTCGGACATTAGGCCAGAATGCAGTCCCTGGTCATCACTCAGAATGTTTCTATCATGGAAAAGGAATAATTAATCCGCACTGTGCTGGACAGTGAGCATCTCCAACAGCTGATAGTTTATAAGACCCGTACCGTGGCACTCACTGGCATTACCATTGCAGAGATCGTTCCATCACCCACAATATGTCGTTAAGCATTGACCTGAAATTTAACTCCATCAACCACATTCGTGCTCAGACCACAAGAAATTAGAGACTGCGCATTCTTCAGTGAGTAACGCACCTCCTGACTCCCCAAAGCCTGTCCACCATCTACAAGGCACAAGTCAGGAGTGTGATGGAATACTCCCCACTTGCCTGGATGGGTGCAGCCCCAACAACACTCAAGAAGCTTGACACCATCCAGGACAAAGCAGCTGCTTGATTGGCACCACATCCACAAGCATCCACTCCCTCCACCACCGACGCTCAGTGGCAGCAGTGTGTACTATCTACAAGATGCACTGCAGAAATTCACCAAGGATCCTCAGGCAGCACCTTCCAAACCCACGACCACTTCCATCTAGAAGGACAAGGGCAGCAGATATATGGGAACACCACCCCCTGCAAGTTCCCCTTCGAGCCACTCACCATCCTGAAATATATCACCGTTCCTTCACTCTCACTGGGTCAAAATCCTGGAATTCCCTCCCTATGGGCATTGTGGGTCAACCTATAGCAGGTGGACTGCAGCGGTTCAGGAAGGCAGCTCACCACCACCTTCTCAAGGGGCAACTAGGGATGGGGCAGTAAATGCTGTCTTTAACAGAGATGCTGACATCTCAGGAAAAAGTATTAAAAAATGGCCTGCCTTAATTCCCAAGCAAAGAGGAGGCCTGTGCCTCAGCACAGAGACACTTTGCAGAGAGCTATAAGGGAGGAGGCAAAGACCTTCCAGGAGAAGAACAGAATTCCGAGGGTAACAATAAACACAAGAAGCAATTCCGACCTGACCATGCAAGGTTTAGGAGAGCAGATGAGCCAGGTTATAAAGGAGCCATTCTCCCCACCACAACAGCTACTGCATCCCCCTCACCTTCTTGGCAATGGCGCAGACTTGTTCGGTCGGCAAATACTCAAAAGGGAAGACGAATCTCCAGTTGAAGTTTCCTTCACCGCCCATTGACCTGTAGTGGACATCTGTCTTCTGTTTGTTGCCTTCATAGCCCAGAAGCCAACTGGAGACAGAGAGAGAGAGACAGAGAGAGAGAGAGCCAGAGTCAGGGACATTTCATAACAACCCAGCAGGGCCTGGAGTCTCTCTGTCAAATGTCGCTATGTTACAGCAGTTGCATGAAAACTTTTAACATCCAACAGATTGTACATCTCTGAGCCTTCGGCCACATAGATATGAACAACTTATTTTATTGTTTTCAAGGAACATTTAGTGTTTGACAATGTGTGCCAACCTTGCCAACATCCTATCAATGAACGCAAACTTCAAAATTATGCAGTGCCTTCGATCGTAGGGAAACATGGACTTTAACAGAATGGACACCAGTCCACGGAACAAAATGTCACGACCTCGCAACACAGATGCAGATTATTCAGCCAGTTACTTAAGTAGAGAATGGAAAAAGCAGCACTTTATTTCAATGGGGAGAGGTCGCAGGACTTTGCAGTACAGAGGGATTTGAGTGACCTGGCAGATAAAGGGACAAACGTTAGTGCGCAGGTACAGCAAGTAATTTGGAAGGCAAATGAGATGTTGTTTATTGCAAGGGGAATGGGATATAAAAGAAGGGAAAATTTATAACAATTGCACTGGGTAAGACCACCTCTGGAGTACTGTCTGCAGTTTTTGTCTCCTTTCCTAAGAACAGATATAATTGCATGAGAAGCAGTTCAGGGAATGTCTAGTTGCCTGATTCCTGAGATGAAAGGGTTATCTAATGAGGAGTGCTTCAACAGGCTGCGTCTGTATCCGTTTGAGTTTAGAAAAATGAGAGGCAATCTTATTGAAGCTTGACACCATCCAGGATAAAGCAGCCCACACCCACAAACATCCACTCCCTCCACCACCGATGCTCAGTAACAGCAGTGTGTACTATCTACAAGATACACTGCAGAAATTCACCAAAGATCCTCAGACAGCAACTTCCAAACCCACGACCACTTCCATCTAGAAGGACAAGGGCAGCAGAGGCACTGGGATGCCCATTGCAAACAAAGACAGGGAGAAACGATTTCCTTTGGATGATCTGTGGAACTCTGTTCCCCAGAAAGTGGTGGAACTGCACTCCTGAATATTTCAAAGGCTGGACTATATAGATTCCTGACTTGACAAAGGAGTCATACAGCTGTAGATTAACACAGAACATAACAGGCCCATCAAGTCCAAACTGACAAACAATTGTGAAAGGGTATTGGGGGTGGACTGGAAAGTTGAGGCCACCAACAGATCAGCCAAGATCTTGATCCACAGTGGAGTAGCCTCGATGGGCTGAATGGCTCACTCTAGTTGTGCATACGTTTGCATGCGAGCATCTGCACTCTACAGCTTATTGGAACATCCAATTTCTTTCATCATTTTGGTGCATCTTACCTCCCCTTAAGACCATAATAAATAGGAGCGGGAGTAGGCCATTTGGCCTTTTGAGTCTGTTCCGCCATTCAATAGGATCCTGGGTGATCCCGACATTTCTCATGCCCACTTTGCTGCTCTTTCCCCAAAACTCTTGATCCCCCGACTGATCAAGAATCGATCTATCTCAGCCTTACTGTGTACAACCTGTGACCCTGAGTTCCATAGTGCTGGTTGGAAAACGATGAGGAACATCCTCCCTAATTTCAATGTCATTACAATTTACTAATTTGCCAGCGGCATGTAATGGCCAACAGGACTTGTATAACAGAAATGTAAGACAGTCCCGAAGAAATTCAGCGGAAAATTGTGGATGAAACCTCTTCACCCAGAGATCGATGAGACCGTGGAGCTCTGTTTGGGGAATGGTTGAGGTGAACAGCACAGCAGGGAAGTTTGGAAATCAACACGGAAGGTAAAACAATGGAAGGATACATTGATAGATGAGATGAATAATGTTGGGAGGATATTTGTGTGCAACATACGCATTGGTGAAATGGCTCCTGCCGTGTTCTAGGTTTAATGGAAATCTAAGTGACACACTGGGAAAAAGATTCCAAAAAAGTACTGACCCTTTCACATAGATATCACTCATCTTCTCTCCTGTGATACTGACGTCATCTAAGATTACATCGTTGGTGTTCCATATGATACAACGGAGATAAAACCTGAAACAGGGACACAGATAAAACACACAACAGAATCTTCAGAAGAAAGATCGTCCACTTTGTCATTTAACCAGAACACCGTATCAATTCACAATCTCATCACACACTCCCAGCACAGGGACAGCACGGGGTTAGATACAGGATAAAGCTCTCTTACACTGTCCCCCATCAAACACTCCCGGCAAAGAGAGAGCACGGGGTTAGATACAGAGTAAAGCTACCTCTACACTGTCCCCATCAAACACTCCAAGCAAAGGGAGAGCACGGGGTGAGATACAGGGTAAAGCTCCCTCTACACTGTCGCCATCAAACACTCCC